GGTAAATAATGCTGCAATAAACATAGTTGTGCTGGTAGCTTTAGTGTGGTCTTGTTTGTAAACATTTGGGTAAATGCCCAAAAGTGGGACTGCTGGGTCATAGGGGAGCTCTATGTGGAGTCTTTTGAGGAACCTCCATACTACTTTCCAAAGTGGTTGAACAAGTTTACACTCCCACCAACAATGAAGTAAGGTTCCCTTCTGTCCACATCCCCTCCAGCATCTGTTGTTATTAGAGTTCTTGATTTTTGCCATTCTAACTGGGGTGAGGTGGTATCTCAATGTTGTTTTGATTTGCATTTCTTTTATGGCTAGGGAGGTTGAGCATTTCTTCATGGAGACACTTTCTTTAAAATACATAGTTGCCGTGTGACCTAGGAATTCTACCCCTTAGCATATGCCTAAGAGAAATGGAAACATATCTTCACACAAAAATTTGTACATAAATGCTTATAGCAGCACCATTTGTAATGGCCAAAACATGGGAACCACTCAAATACTAATCAACTGGCAGAATGCTGATTCAATATTATTCAATCATTTGAAAGGGATTAAAGTACTGCTGTAATATAGTATGAGTAAACCCTGAAAACATGAAAAGTGATAACAGAAGCCTACATGCTGTATGATTCCATTTTATTAAATACAAAAATCCATCAAATACACGATGACAAAGTAGATTAGTAATTTAGGGGGATGACTATGGAGTTACTGGTAATGAATATGAGATTTTATCATACAATGATAAACTTTTCTCTAAAATGTGGTGATAGTTTTCTTACTTTGTAAATACTAAAACCCTTTAAATTATAACTTTAAAATGAGTGAATTTTACATACTGTAGACCCTGGTTATCCATAAGTATATGATTCTGTAGACACCCCATTGAGAAAGAGTCCGTGACTGTTCAAATGTATAGAGTTCAGTATTCAAAATGACTAAATCTCCCTACCATACTGTATGATAGGTCTTGGCAGGTTGTCTTACTTTTACAAAAATTGCTATTACAAGTATTAGTACTTCTCACCAAAAAGTACATCATATTTCATATTCTTTATCTTGAATACTATGGATGCTTGATTCATTTTCTTACTCTGTATAAACACAAACTTCCACTGAAGATATGCTACTATTAATATATTTCCAGTTTTCCCTTTATCACTTAAATTAAACATGTTTTGTGTCCTTTTTGGCTTGGGAAGATTACCACAGCCTTTACCTTGTTTTTTGTACATCATATTTGCTTTGAAGGAGGCATACTTTCACAGAATTAAAGACAGGAAAGCACACATGATTTAAATACAACTGATAGTAAAACAGGAAATTCCAGGAGACTCATATCTCCAATTACTTACTGAAAAGCTTGAGGTGGAACTGAGGTTCATGCAGTAGAATACCAACATTGAGCAAAAAAGCTTAAGGACAACATTCAGGCCCTGAGTTCATGTTTCCAGCAGTTCCCATTTTAAATAACCTAGTTTATTTACCTTGGTTTGTTTAGAAATATACACATTGAACCTAAAGTCTAGTTTTCAAATTATACATAATCTATTTTTATGCTTTGATTTCATATACTTTGTTTTTTTCTATACAGATCACTTCCAAAACGATAGTGGAAAACTGAATCTTAGGACAGAATGATACCTGACTTGTTTTCCTAGCTCTACATTTTGTGGTGTATTTTTAGACTAATTACTTAGTATGTATAGTTATATAAATATTAGTGAATGTAAGTTATTAGAAACTTAGAAATCCTTAGATATAATCTACATAATAAAAGTTGGTAAATAATAAATAATAAAAGTTGGTAACTGTATTTCAGAATCATTTGATTGTAAAATGATAAAATGACTGTAAAATAATAAATAATAAAAGTTGGTAACTATATTTCAGAATCATTTGATTGTAAAATGATACTAGGATAGTAGCTCTATCTTTTAGACTTTATTCTTTGATTTGAGGACTTCGATTTTACTCCTTGCCCTTCTTCTAGGGACAGTTATTTCTTTAAAGGACTATGTTAAAGCTATTTTGTTTTGTGATTAATAACCTCAAGATAAAGAGAGATAACATAGCAAATCTCATAGCCATAGAACTTTTTTTTAAATCAGATATTTTACTTTGGGGAAATTCCTACTTAAAGTTTAGAAATGGCTCTCTATTGATATCTCTGAGTAATGGAGAAGGAAATTTGCAAAGAATGAAAAGTTCAGAGGCAGAAAAATTGAAGCATTAATTTTTGTTTTTCTTTGATTAAATTAAATTCTTTTTTCTCCAATTTATTCATTTGTGACATGAGTTAATACTTATCTGAAATTGTAAAAACAATTTCTAGAATAGTAAGGTCTAATAAGCATTAAATTCTTCATAAATCATAGATTCTATTGTCAGTAGAACTCTGGGAATTTATGTAAAGTCTTCCTATTTTACTGCATATTGAATGTTTTATCTTACTAAGTGACTGTTTGAGTAGGTTGCCATTTGAGATTCTCAAAATTCAGACATGATTTACAAATGGCTATGACCAAGAAGCAGTCAATAATTGATGTTACTTTGCCCATCTTCTTTCTTATTTCTAACATTCCAATTAAGTCAACATACCAACAGAAACCAATTTATGTCATCGTTCATTTTGCCATTCATAATATCAGTAGAACTTCTTGTGTGTGTATATATATATGTATATGTATATATATATATATTTTTATTTATTACTGGTGTTAAGGATTTCCTTTGGCTGGACTCCTTTGATTCTGAGAGAGAAAGAGTGAGAGACAGAGAGAGACTTTTTGTGTCTGCCTTTTTAGACTTTACAAAGATAATGGAAGAATTTTCCAAGAATGTGTCAATTTGGTTGGTTATCACAATCACTAAAAAAAACTTCATGTAGAATTGAAAGCAGTTTTTATTAGTTTGTCATCTTGATTTATTGATGACTTATTTTATTTTGTAAATAGATCTGTCCTGTAATTTTTTTTTCAGAGCAACAGATTGTGAAAGACCAACTCAATCGGGTATTAACTAGAAATTCTTCTATTTTTTTCTGTTTTCCTACAAGGGTTATTTTACATCTTTTCTAAAATATCAAGTATTGCAATTATTGCCTATTCACCTTTCTTTGAACTCTTTCATTAAAAACTAAGTAAATAAAACCAGAAGAATTGGCTGGGAAGGTGGTTCAGTGGTAAAGCGCTTGCCTTGCATGAATGAGGCCCTGGGTTCGATTCCTCAGCACTACATAAGCAAAAAGTGGCGCTGTGGCTCAAGTGGTAGAGCACTAGCCTTGAGCTGAAGAGCTGAGGGACAGCGCCCAGACCCAGAGTTCAGGCCCCACGACTGGACCGCCCCCCTCCCCCCCCAAAAAAAACAGAAGAATTTTCTCAACCTTCAGCCTATTCACCATTTCTCAACCTATTCACCATTCTTTCCTTCCTGCTTCCTTAGGTAGGTGTGTTGTATCTCTACCTCCTAGCTCTGCACTCTGGTTGCACTTCCTAGCCAGCTTCCTAAAAGTGATGTGAAGCATACTTTTTTACATCAATACTCAAATTTAGGTTACCACTCCTTTAAACCTTTGTCACCCTTCTTATTGATAAGTATTTTACCCTACCTTACTCTCTCCAGATATGATGCAAATAAAAACATTTTCTTTAATTTATCTTTTACACACATTATCCTACTGTTCTTACTACCCCTGTGGCCATTCTTTCTGGTACCCTTCCTCTGCCTGACCCTCCAGTGTTGATATCTAGAATTTCAGTATTTTTTTTTTTTTTTTGGTCCAGTCGTGAGGCCTGAACTCTGGGCCTGGGTGCTGTCCCTCAGCTCTTCAGCTCAAGGCTAGCAGAGCGCTAGCCACTTGAGCCACAGCGCCACTTCCGGCTTTTTTCATTTTGCTTATGTGGTGCTGAGGAATCGAACCCAGGACCTCATGCGTGCAAGTTAAGCGCTCTACCACTGAGTTACCTTCCCAGCCTGCTACTAATACTTCCTCCATAGGCCTTTTACCCATTCTTATGAGGAATTAGAACACATTAAGTAAACATTTCTTAAATGAATTGTTTCTACACTGATGATTTCTCAAGGGGTTTTAACTATATTTGGTTGGACCTTATTAATTGAAAATATTGCAGTATTTCAAACCTAATCATGTAATTCACAGCCAAAGTCCAGTCTCTCTAGACCGTGATTCTCTTAATCTTCCCTGCTACATGCATGTCTTGAAAAAAGCCAAGCTCATTATTTAGTACTTACATATATATATAAAAGGTTAATTTAAATGTAAGTTCTTTGTATTGAAGGTAATTATAAAGGTAATTTTAAAGTATGTGCTTTGCTAAAATTTTTGTTCCTGTTTGACTATAGGAATTTTGTAGTATAGTTCTTTGTCCTCAAAATTTCAGTTAACCTGTTCATTTCAAATATACATTGAAATATATATTAGGAGCAAAAGAGGGAGAATTAATATTTAATGAAGCTATGTCTACATTAGGATTTTCATTTTCCAATAGTGCTAGCAGTAGCCATCTTTTAGATGGGGCTGGGATGGTGGCTCAATGGTAGAGCACTTGCCTTGCATGCCCGAGGCCCAGGTTCGATTCCTCAGCACTACATAAGCAAAAAGAAAAAAATCTGGAAGTGGCGCTATGGCTCAAGTGGTAGAGTGCTAGCCTTGTGCTGAAGAGCTAAGGGACAGCACCCAGACCCAGAGTTCAGGTCCCACGACCGGACCCCCCCCCCAAAAAAAAAAAAAGAAAAGAAATAGATAGAGAAGCAGAAAATGGAAGTAAGGGAAGTTAAGTAGATTAACATGGCAATGTAAGTAACTTAAAATTCAAAGCCAGAGTTTATTTAGACTCTATATCTCATGTTTCTCTTCTAAATTTTATTGAAAATATAAGATGAAGATGAATATAGAATATAGAAATAAATACTGTAACTTCTTCAGTTTAGTGAATCTAAATTGTGTTAAAACTTACCTTTATCGTTTATTTCCATAGGCAGTTATTTGGCAGAAAAGTAGAGTAGCAGACCACAAGATGGCCCTAATGTCAGTTCTGGGGACTTCTGTTATGGGCAACATGGAATCCTTACAGTACCATTCTGAAGAAGCTCAGGTATGCAACAAAAATGTCTTCTAATAATTCTGATTTACTAATGAAGTTGTTAAAATAGTTTCCTTCTAGGATATTTGAAGGATTTCTTTTTAATATTTCTACCTAAGACGTATTCAATCTAAAAAAGAAAATTTATACGCTGATTTCCTTTCTCAGTCCTGCCTTTCTTTACACTCTGTCTGTTGCTTTCATTTATTTTTTTTTAAAGCTTTCAGTTTAGAATTGTGTTTTTATACTATGGAAAAGAAAAATTAAGCTGGCTTATTCATACTTTCTCTATCTTAATCCTGAACATACACTCAAATTTCTTTTTACTAATCTGTTAGCTATAGATAATACTTTTTGACTATTAAACTACTGGATGATATTTCCCCTTACTTACATGTTCTTTCCCTCTTGAATCTTGTTAGGAATACTTGTCTTGTTATCAAGGTTTTGAGCCAGTTGTCTCACTACCTTTGAAGCCCAAACTGACAATTCACAATTCTTGTCAGCCTCCTGAGTGCTGGGAAAAAAGGAATGTCCACCAACCTGAACTCATCTTTGGTTAAATTTTACAGTTATCTGTTCAGGTATATGTCCTTTATTATTCATTATTGTGTTGAGCTCTTTTGTGAATGTTTTGAAAGACTCTAAAACTCATTTACTTTCTTTTAGCCTTGGGTTATCCACTTCTATCCATTATCAGTTTCCCTCTTTCCATTATTACTATTTGATTAGAGTCTCTTATTTTTCTCAAATCTATCCATTATCAGTTTCCCTCTTTTCCTTATTACTATTTGATTAGAGTCTCTTATTTTTCTCAAATGATTTTTCTATAAATTCTGAGAAATCTGACAGAATTTAAAAAATACTTTTATTGAATTTCTACTTTGAAAGTTATGTTTAATTTCCAAGAATATTACTTTATTGTTTTGCCACTTCATATTGCTTTATGAATAGAATATCCTAAGTCTCTTTTTTGGGGGGAGGGGGGTCAGTCGTGGGGCTTTGAACTCTGGGCCTGGGCGCTATCCCTCAGCTCTTCAGCTCAAGGTGAATACTCTGCCACTTGAGCCACAGCACCACTTCCAGTTTTCTGAGTGGTTTATTGGAGATAAGATTGGAGATAAGAGTCTCATGGACTTTCTTGCCTGGGCTGGCTGTGTGTGTGTGTGTGTGTGTGTGTGTGTGTGTGTGTGGTGTGTGTGTGTGTGTGGTGTGTGTGTGTGTGGACTAGAACTTGAATTTAGGGTGTGTGTACTAGAACTTGAACTTAGGGCCTCACACTATTGCTTTTTTCACCTTAGGCTTGTGCCTCACCTCCATTATGTCTTTTTGCTGGTCAATTGGAGAGAAGAATGTCTTGGGTTTATCAAACCTTTGATTTATCTGCCCAGATAGGCTTTGAACCTCAGTTCCCAGATTTCAGCTTCCAGAGTAGTTAACAATTATTGGAGTAAGCCACTGATAGCCAACCTAAGTTATATTTAGGAGGAAGGTTGTTGTTTTTCTTGTCTGCTCTTAAGTGTTGCATCATTAAGATCCTGGTTCTGTTCTGGCATAAGTGTCCTAATAAGGTGAGACTTACTTTGCATTTTATACTCTTAACACACAACTCCAGTTCTTCTCATGAAATTAATTACCTCTCTCTTCTTTTGTCCTCTTCTTTCTTGTCTTTTCTTTTTTCCTTTCTAGAACAAATTTGGATGGATGGTAATTTACTTATTCTGTGTCACCATTCAGTTTCTTTAGAAATGATGCCTAATTTGTTCCTGTTTGTCTGCTAGATTTATACCTGAAGGTTATCAGAAGTGTTCTTATATATTGTCTTGAGATGGTTAGGGTACAGATAAATTCCCCTGAATTCCCTCTAACTTTTTGGGACTTCATAGAAAGCACTGATGGAAACTTTGGTCAGTTATCATTTTATGTGTGGTTGAGACTCAATGAGTTAGTCTTACACTAGGATTTTTTTGTTCAGTGTGTTCCAGATATATTCTTGCCCATTGACATTTTTTCCTCAGTTAGAACTCCCTAAAGGTTCCTAGTAATCACTCATACATGCAAGAATTTTTGCTTCATCATCACATGGTTATTTTTATTGGAAGAATGGGGGAATTGGAAAAACATGAGTTAGTATTTCAGTTCTATTGGCTGTTTCTCTGATAAAGTTATCATTTAACAAAATCTTCTTTTCATTTTTATACTTTGTGTCTAATCTAAACAGGTTTTACAGTTTTGTTCCACCACCTACCCATCCTCAATTCATGTTCTGTGGAATTGTATAGTTGTCTTGTCCTGATACCAGATAAGTCTTCTGTCTTCCTATCCATTGCTAAGAGCAGTCCTAACTTGTTTCCCCACTGTTAGTAGCTGTCCACTCTTTCCCTACTTCTGTTTTACATCTTATCTTTGAATTGGGAAACTGGTCTATTGGGGCTCATTTCATGGACTGAAATGACAGATCTATGAGCTATCAGAATCTAGGACATAGAGAGAGAATATGTATTTATACCCGCACACATGTATAGATACTTGTGTGTATATCTTCCCTTTATTTGAAGGGCCTGCATTTTATCTGTATGAACATTACATGGGAAGAATCTCTTTACGATGGCCTCAACTGAGTATCTACTATAAGCAGTTTTTGCTAAGCATTTGTCAGGATGACTTTTGTTGCTTTTATCCAATTCTTCATGCTACCTTTCTCACTTTTTATTTCCTACCACTTAAGCCATGCTCTTACCCTTGTGTTATCCTTTTTCTTTTTTCTTTTTTGTTTTCTTTTTCTTTTCTCTTTCTTTTTTATTTTTCTGGTGGTGGTGGTGGTACTGCGGTTAGAACTCAAGGCTTCACATTTGCTAGGCAGGCAACCTACCAGTTGAACCGCCTTAAGCATTTATTGGTCTGATTATTTTTGAGATAGGGCCAAATTTTTAGTCTGGTCTGACCTGGACTTTAATCTTCTTATTTATGCTTCCCACTTAAGTAGGATTTCAGTGTACACCACAATATCCAACTTTATTAATTGAGATAAGGTTCTAACAAGTCTTTTGCTTGGCCAGCTTCTAACTTCAGTCTCCCAACTTTAGCCTCCCAAGAAGCTAAAATGATGGGTGCATGGCACTGTGCTTAGCTATTTCTTAATATGGAAGTCTCTGAAACTATTTCCCTTGAATAGCCTTGAATCACAATCCTCTTGATCTCTCTGTGGCTAAGACTACAGGCATGAGCTGGTGCCTGGCTTCCTTCTTGACATTTGTATTCTTCTGAATATTTTTATATGTATACATTATTCTATGCTAATTTTTGAGTGAATTCCTTTTGAGTACTGCTTGATTTTTATTCCCCAAATTGATTGTCTTCAAAATTCAATATTTTCAGTTTCTTCTAGACCTTCAGACTAGTTTCAAAGCTCTTATCATTCAGACATTTCTATTTTCCTGACAGAAAATCCTGTTTTATATGCTTTGAATTTTTTTTGCAAAATATTTTGAGGACAGGGTTATGATTGTTGTTTGTTTTGTTTGGCACATACCGACTACCCTCGCTAGTCCTAATTTTACTGACTCCTTTTTCTGGCCATCTTGGCTGAGCCTTGTTCTTGGTTTTAGAATTGTCCCTGTTCTTTCCTCTGGTTCTGGCAGACAGTTCCAGTGGTCATAGTGTTTTTAAGTTGTTGCTATCTGAACTGCCTATTTCCAGTGGAAAGACTGATTTCAAACCACTTCCTTATATTGAGTGCTTTTTTGTTTATACCACAATTTAATTTACAAGTGATTCATCCTGTTTCTGTTACCTGGAGTCATTACTTCCTCTTATGTATTTTACATCCTTCTTTAAATTTCTATATGGTTATGCCATTTGAGATTATTTTGCACATTGATTTTATCACTATTGTATAGGCTTCAGTTAGAAGGAAGATGAGAATTTATGTATGAACTTGTTTCAGTATCCTAATGAGAGTATTTAAATTATTACTTTAGAAATGTAATCTAAATTATTAACTTATAAAATGGTGAATGCTTAAAGAGATTAGCATTAGGAGACTAGTCAAGGTTTTTCAGTACAGTGACAATAGAAAAGAAATATATTTGACAGACTGTAAATCTCAGGACTTTATTATGATAAAGAATACAGATTTGCTCACTGAATAACAGAGTAGAAATATGATTAAATACTTTATAAAGTTTTTAAAAAGATTTTATTTTATTTTTTGTGCCAGTACTAGGGCTTGAACTCAGGGCCAGGATACTTTCCCTTATTTTTCACTTAAGGCTAGTGTTGTACCACTTGAGCTACACCTCCACTTTTGGCTATTTTTTGCTGGTTATTTGGAGATAAGATAAATCCTCAGGATTTCAGCTTCCTGAGTAGCTAGAATTATAGGAGAGAGCCACTGGCACCCAGCAGTAAGATTATTTTCGTGACAGTTTAAGAACCTTAATAGACATTTGAGAGTGAAAAAAATAGAACATTGATATCAACAGTGCCAAGTATTTGCCATGTTAATGAAATGCTCAGAGAAATTTTGTTGTTCGTCATGGGTCTTGAACTCAGGGCCTGGGTGCTGTCCCTGAGCTTTTGAGCTCAAGGATAGCACTCAACTACTTTTAGGCACAGCTCCATTTCTATTTTATATGTGGTTAGTTAGTGATAAGAGTCTCAAGACTTTCCTGCTGGGGCTGGCTTTGAACTGCAATCCTCAGATCTCAGTCTCCTGAGTAGCTAGGATTACAAGCATCAGCTACCAGTGACCAGCTTACTCAGAGAAATTTAATGAGAAAACAAGAAAGAAGCACCTGAGAATAGAATTCAGGGGTACCAGGAGAGAAACCAGCAAAGTAGACTGAGAAAGAAGTAGCAGAAAGAAAGCAGAAAAAAAGACAAACCGAAACTTTCAGCTCTCTTTACCTTACATTACTCCTTTCTTTCTCTTTCTCTTCCTTTTTATCCTCCTTCCCTCTCCCTGTCTCTTTTTCTTTATTTTTTAATCCACACACCATAAGTCTTTCAGAATCTAAACAGGCCTTCCCAGATGACCAGCAGGTGCACCCAAGAAAAGTTTCATGTTACCTGGTAAATTATACAACCAGTTATAAATGCTGTGAAGTTTTACAGTTAATTAAGTGGTATCATTTTACAATGGATTATCCAGACTTATTAATTTATTTTTTCAAATTAGCACAATTTGGCGCTGTGACAATAATGCACTTAGTGTTCTAAATTTAGTACTGCCTCTCTTTAAACACTTATTTTCAAGAGTAAGCCTTAGACATAGGTGACAGCCTACAAGCTATGTTGGTAAGGAGCCTCATGGTTTCTGCTTAGTTAAAAAGAACACTTCCACTTGCACTGGTATTTAGCTTTCTTTATACTAAGCTAAATTTTTACTATTAATGTTTATTAACAGATTAACAACACATTTATTTCTAGTTTTTACATATATGGGACTGAATTTTAAAGAACTTGATCAGAATCACATAGCTCATAGTAGATTCTAGCTTCAGCTTATTCTTAACAATCCTCTATATTGTTTTTAGCTGATTTAATTAGCTAGCAGTAAAAATAAGAACACATTTCCTACCTTCAATCCCTAAATCTCCCCTCTGTTCATTTTTTCCTAGTAGCTTTGATTTTCTTCTTACTTGTCATTTGTAGACTAGAGAAGGATAGCATATAAATTATAAGTGAAGTTCTTGTAGAAAGGTTTTCTAAGCAAAGTGAAGATTAAACTCAGAAATGAAATTCATTAGGTTGACTTTTTTAGCATACCCATAAAGATAACAGCAGAAGTTTATGAGAAAACATGGTTGAAGAGAAAAGGATAAATAGCTAGAGAAAAGTCACAATGTGAAGAAAGAAGTTTTCTTTTCTTTAAAGGTGAGTATAAGCTGAGAATATATGCTATTTGTTTAGTATTTGAAATTAAGACTATTCACGAAGGTTTTATACAGGTCCATTTTTCCTTGGAATTATAAAAAGAAAAGCAAAGAGTACCAATTTAGTATGCTTCAGCATTTTATTCAAGTTTAATTCATAGGTTTTCAGAAAGTATATGCCTTTTTCAACCTTAAGTGGGAAATTTCATTCTTACCTTTTTATACCTTTTAACATATTGCGTATAGCCTGGCCTTTGGAACTACATTGTTGACATTGATATTCTCTACCTATTATCATTATAGATTTATCTTAGTGGATTCTTTCCAAAGCATGATGCTGACCACAGTTCCACAAGTCTTTCAACCCCAGAGAGAAGTTTCATTTTCATAAATAGTCGACCAGTACATCAAAAAGACATATTAAAGGTAATCACTTTTAATAAAAATGTACTTGGATCAGAAATTTTAAAACATCTCTGTCATTTGTCAGATTGTTACAAGGCGCGACTTCTAAGAATTAGCTCTAAAATAAGTAAAAGATTTTCATGTATCATGGGAGTTACTTATATATAGTGTCTCATTTATTCTTCACCACAAGCCAGTGATGCCTTGTTATCTGTATTTACCGAGGAAGCAATGCTAAATGTCTATCTTAAGGAATGTGACCAGAAAGTCTCAGAGTTTTGATTTGAACCCCAAGTCTTCAAAACATTTATGGTTTCTACCCATAGGACCAATTGCCCTGATATTTGTACTTCTTATGAAAACTTGTGATTCATATAGGTTTGAGGTCTCCAAATGAGTGTTACTACTATTTAGATATTACTTTCCTAGATACACAATTTTATGTGCTCAGATTTCCAATGAAAGTGACTCCTTTTGGTGTGTTTTGTTTTGTTTTGTTTTTGTCGGTCATGGGGCCTGAACTCTGAGCCTGGGTACTGTCCCTCAACTCTTCAGCTCAAGGCTAGCACTCTACCACTTGAGCCACAGCACCACTTCTGGCTTTTTATGCTTATGTGAATCAAACTCAGGGCCTCATGCATACAAGTCAAGCACTCCACCACTGAGCCACCTTCCCAGCCCCTTTTGTTGGTATTATAAAGTTGGCAATACTGTCTTTGTTTACATGATGTTTTTGTCTTTTATTCATTGCATGTATTTCCAGTTAGTCCGACGTTATTACAGTCTTAAATGCCTAAAGGAATCCACTCGTTTGTATCCAGTTTTCTTTCTGAAAATAGATGTTCCTACAGCTGATGTGGATGTAAATTTAACACCAGATAAAAGTCAAGTATTATTACAGAATAAGGTAACAATTTTCAGATAATTACTGTATGAATTTACACTATTTATATACTTATGTACTCTTAATTATCTTGTGTAAAAGAGACTTATTGTTAATATTTTTTCCTTTAAATTTTATGCATCTTTTCATTATATTCCCCTAATATTTGTTAATTTCTATTTTTAGGAATCTGTTTTAATTGCTCTTGAAAATCTGATGATGACTTTTTACGGACCAGTACCTAGTACAAATTCTCATGAAAATGATAAAACAGATGTTTCCTCAGCTGAAACAGTAGAAGCAGATGTGCTTTTTAATAAAATAGAAACATCTGGAAATAAATGTCCAAATGGTGATATTGAAACTATAGCTTCCCAAAAAGGTGTACATAATGATGAATCTCAAAAAACCACTGATCATTGTTTAAATCACCAAATAAATAGTAGTGATGATCATTTTAATAGTGAAAATTCTGACATCAGTAAGAACACTAGAAATATAGTTGAAAAAAACATAAGGAATAACTTATCCTGGGAGGATATCCAAAGTGAAGGTAGTGAAGCTTGTTTCAAAGGTTCTATTAAGCATATAGAATTAGAAAATAGCAGTAAAAGCCATATAGATGATAGTGGGAAGCATAAAGAAGCATTGTCTCCTGAAAAGTCTTTAGATATTTGTGCAGAGGACTGGAGCAAGGGAAATTTACTTAATTCAATTGGAGAGAATATTGAACCTGTGAAAATTTTAGTGCCTCAAAACAGTTTAGCTTGCAGAATAAGTGATAATGATCAAGGCCTTGAACAAAAGAGTCTCAGTGATGGTTCCTGTAGTAAAAAATCAAATGTAATAGATAATAAGTCAGGACAGCTTACGGCTTATGACTTAATTAGTAATCGCGTGATCAAGAAACCCATGTCAGCAAGTGCCATTTTTATTCAAGATCATCGTGCTCAGTTTCTCACAGAAAATCCTAAGACCAGTTTGGAGGATGCAGCAGTACAAATTGAAGAACTGTGGAAGACATTGACTAAAGAGGAAAAGTTGAAGTAAGTTTCCAGAGCTTGCATGTGACCCAAATGCTCGGCTGTTTCCATTCTATATGACTCACTGGTTGAAAACAAGTTTTTTAACTTCATGTTTAAGGAAAAGCAGAATGGAAAAATTCCTCTTGGCTTAGGTAGAGTGTTTTTTGATGTCACTTTTTTTTTCAGATGTTTTTATTTGGAGAGTTTGAGGTGCTTTTTTGTTTTATTTTGGAAAGGCTTACTCTTTTGCTTGCTTGTTTGGTGCAAACCTTCACTGATTTGAAGTAATGATGTTTTTAATACCTTGACTATCCCATTTTAAAAATTGGTTGCCAGAATATGTAACACAGTAAAAGAATTGTGCCGTTGCTGCAGGATCAATTTAGTGGTGTTAACACTGTCCGTACTCAGTATAACTCACAACTTCTGAAATTTCCTTGTAGCAACTTACAAACTATAGTGGATGTTGAATCCATGACCTCATTTTACTGACCACTATATATATCATGATCAGCCCTGCTTCCTGCATACCTCTCCCTACCTTCTCTCCTCTTCTTTTATTACCTGAAGCAAATTTTACACACACTATCACCTATTCCATATATATTTCAGTATTTAAAATATAAAGAAATCATCACCATAAAATAATTTGTCACAACTTTATTAAATATTCGATGTTTTGAGATTCTAATTTTATAAATATCAAATCTTTAGAAGTTTATTTTGAATCATGCACATAACTATAATTGTCTTTAAAAATATCACATATTCCTCCTCTACACACATATATATGTGTATATGTATATATATATGTAGTATATATATGTGTGTGTGTGTGTAGTGTATATATATATATATATATAGTACCAGTTAAAAATAAAAAAGATAATAGATTTTTAGGTACAATAAATCCATTTTCTGAGAAAGATCATCAATTGATAGTTATCTGGAAAGAGAAAACCAAATAGATGTTTTTAGTTCTTGTAGAAGTAGAGACAGTTATTCTGTGAAAGGATATTTCTCTGTTGTGAATGACAATTTTCACTTGCTCTGAGTCAAAACATTTTAATTTGAATTGTAGAGATAGAAAACAAAAAATATAGGACCATGATCAGCTGAGTCCCAAATCATGATTAGTGAAAAGGTAGAGCAAAAATGGTATTACACACAGGAATCATAGTAAGTCCACTTCCATTCATTCTTTATCTTGAAATTCTTACCATGCTCACCAATTCTGAAAGGAATAGTGAAGAATATAATAGTGGACTCTTCCTGTAGGTCTTCAATTCTTCTCCCCTTTTCTTCCCCTTTTGCCTTTTCCTAATTCCCTTCTATTTTTCCTTCCCTCCCGTTCTCCTTTCCATTCTATTCCTTCAGTTAGGAAATACTTACTGAAAAATCTGTATTTGTAGACCCTATGTTTTCCAGCTACTCACTACCAGTTACAAACAAAACCTACTTCCCTTATTTATAAATGGAACACTCTGATAAAGAGTCAGTTAAACATGCAGTAATATAAAATACGATGAGTTTTTAAAAATGTAACTTTTATTATTAAGATAGTATACTAAGGTGTTACCATTTCACAATTTAGGTAATATATACATTTCTCTTTTGGACAATGTCTCCCCCTCCTTCGCTTTTCCCCAGGTTTCCCCTTCTATGTCTGTCCACAACTTATATAGTTCATTTTTCATATGGTGTATACTGAATACTATGAGTGCATTTGTTCATTCTTCCTTCTTTCCTGCATCCTCTTTGGCCCCCTAAAAAACAGAAAAAGAAAAAGCACACAAACAATAATAAATTTCAAGATAAAATATAGTGAGTTATGGAAACACATAGTAGTTTGGCTTAATCTCATATATGGAACAGGAAGTTGCTTCCCTGTGTGGAAACAAACCAGAAAGATTTTAGAGCCTAGAAGGAATAGGATGTTTAGAGAAACAGAAATGTCTTCTCTCTGACAGAGGATATAAGGGACTCTGGTAAAGAAAAAGGAGCCATTTTTTAAGTTCTTTTCTGGGTTTGTTTTGCTCTTTTATCTTTCTCTCCTTTCCTTTAGTGGACTGGAAACCGTGTTTCTCCATGTGACCTGCCTTTGTGAGGGGTGGTCTCTGTCAATTTGTGTTAATTTGCAGTAGCTATGAAATGTATCCCTACTTAAAAATAACCAAGGGTAATTCTTCAATGGGAGTGTAACTAAAAATGGTAAACCAACTTTATAATTAAATGTAATCTTTAATCTCAAAAAACATTAGAATTGACTGCTGATCAAATTTTCCTTTCAAGTTTTTAGATCTCTTAACATAAAATACAAAGGTAGCAGCTGTTTTTACTTAACATTTACCTAATATTCCTTTGGACATAACTTTTTACATTTCCCAAGGAACTAATTAAGTTTGACTTCTTAAAAAATCAAAAGATTAATACCATATGTGAAAATTTGCACATTATAATTAATTACAAATGGTGACCTTTATCTCGAACTCATTTTTCACCACATTGGAAAAATCTTAACTTTCGAATGTCAAGAGCTAAAAATACTTATTTCTAGTACCTGTTGAAAGTATCCTTGAAAATCATGTGTTTTATATGGCTAATCCAGAACTTCATATGCTAAGTATAACTGGTAGAAAATAACTTCTAAATATATAAATGTGTCATGGTAATTAACCAAAATAATTTTTGTTATACGTGATACATTATGTTAAATAATAATTTATAATGAGATAAAGTCTTTAAGAGGGGTAGTAGGGGTAATAATGGGTTTGGCTTTGAGGCTTGAACTTAAATCATTGTGCTTACTGGGCAAGCAGACAACACACTTTTGAGCCACAGTCCTTTAGCTTCTGGATGGTTCTTTTGGTTTTAGTTTGGGGATTTTTGGGTAGGGGCTCCATCATGCAGCATGTTGGATCAGATGTTTAAGATAAAGGTTAGGCTGGCTTTGAACCATAGTTCTCCTAATCTCTGCCTCTCAAGTAACTAGAATTAAGTAGGCATGATCATGCCCACAAGGTCTTTATTGTTTCTTTCACATTCTTAATCAGATAATATTTATTTATTCAACAAACATGTGCTGAGTACAAACAACCTGCTATATTATGGTTTCTCTTAGTCTCACTGTCAGCATTAATTACAGTTCCTTCAAGAATGTTGTTTAAAATTTGAAACACTATCTTCATGAATTATGAACTGAGAGAATAGGGTAATATTCCTTTTTTGTACATTTTTTATTGTAAAAATGCTGTACAGAGAAGTTACAGTTACATGAGCAAGGTAATGAGTACATTTCCTATTGAGCATTGTTGCCTCCTCCATTGTTTTCCCCCTACCATCCATCCCTTCCCTCCCACCTCCACAACTACCACCCCCCCCCCAGAAGTTGTAAAGTTTGTTTTCAACATAGTGTTTTGTACATCTCCTTACGATGGGTCAGCCTGTATCCTTATTTAAGTATTTTGTTTTTTCCCTTCCCCTCCCTGAATTAGAGAAATGTATATACAAGATGCAGGGCACCGACATCAAATACAGTGAAAACAGGGGTTATACTGTGGGGGAGGAACTTACAAAGCAACAAAAAAATCACATGGTACATTATAAATACGTTAGAAACAATAGCAAGAAAGAAAAAAGTTATTTGTGCCCCTATCTTGGGGTTCATTTTGCTTAACATCATCTTACATGTACATAGGTTTTGGCCATTTCTCCTTGTCCTACACTGTACTAGTTATTGCAAATAAGGGAAACGATGTGACCTGTGTTTCTTCGGGCTTGGCTTACTTCACTTAATATAATTTTTTCCAAGTCTGCATTTCTTAACAAAAATCAGTCTTTCTGATGGAGGCATAGAATTCCAATATATATATATATATATATATATAACAAATTTTCTTGATCCATTCATCCATTGAGGGGCATCTGGGTTGGTTCCATAGTTCCATATCTTAGCTATGGTAAATAATGCTGCGATAAACATAGTTGTGCTGGTAGCCTTAGTATGGCCTTGTTTATGATCGTTTGGGTAAATGCCCAAAAGTGGGATTGCTGGGTCATAGGGGAGGTCTATGTGGAGACTTTTGACTCCATACTGCTTTCCAAAGTGGTTGAACAAGTTTATACTCCCACCAACAATGCTGAAAACCCAGAAATGAATCCAAAACCAATAGCCACCTAATCTTCAATAAGGGAGCTAAAAATAATAGAATGAAGAAAGACAACTTCTTTAGTAAATGGTGCTGGCAAAACTGGGTATTCACTGTAGAAAACTAAAGCTGGGTCCTTAAATAACAACCAGCATCAACTCCAAACGGATGATAGACCTCATAGTCAAAGCAGACACCCTGAAAAACATTACAGGAAGGAATAGGAGAAACCCTAGGTTTCCTTGGCACAGGCTGAAATTTGCTTAATAGAGACCCAGATACACAACAAATCAAAGAAAGGTTGGACAAATGGGATTGCATGAAACTGAAGAGTTTCTGCATGGCAAAGGACATAGCTAGCAAGATCAATAGAAATCCCATGGATTGGGAGAAGATCTTCACTAGCCATACAACAGACAATGGTCTCATATCTAAAATATACTTGGAACTCAAAAAAAATTAAATCCCCCTCACAACAAATCCTCAAAGAAACATCTGCCCAATAAATAAGTGGGCTAAAGACTTAAAGAGAAACTTCTCTGGAGGAAATAAGTATGTCCAATAGAAGAAGAAGTGCTCAACTTCTCTAGCCATAAAAGAAATGCAAATTAAAACAACATTGAGATTCTACCTCACTCCAGTTAGAATGGCTATAATCAAGAACTAATAACAACAGATGCTGGAGGGGATGTGGCCAGAAGGGAACCCTAGAGTAATATTCTTTTGGCCTATATCTTGACATTTTTCTTAAACATCTCAACAACTATTCATTTCCTAAGCAAACATTTCTAGATTTTGTAACCAGTATGGCAACTCTGGTGCCTATAACATCACTTTTATTTCCATAACATATACAAGCTTTTCCTTTAATGC